GTATTCGTAAGGTATCTGGAAGAGATGCGAAATAACTGGAGCAAGCTCCGCATCGCAACGGGCTTAGTCAAGTCTGGACAAGAAGCTTTGTTGATGTCCTTGTTCTTTCCCATCCCACCGTGGATGATTTCGGATTTTTTTTCTTTATCACAGTATATTTACCGTGTGTTCAACAATGAAAGGACAAATGTGCCATGATAATTGATGTACCTGGATGGCTATGTGAACTGCTCTGTCAAATGCGTGCCGTTAGAATGAGTTTGGTGAAACAGATCACGATCATGAAGATTTTAGACAATTTCCTTTAAGAGTGTGATACAATAAAATCACTTCCTTCACTGGTAGAATACCAATTCTTAGGGATAATGGGGCCGCCACCATGTCGAGACAATTTATGCACTCTAATTAACAGGGATGACTTTTGAGTATGGCTTCAAATATATGGAGCCATTTGCTTTCTTTGAAGAACTCATATTTAGTGTTCTCAATTTTCTTGCCGATGAACTGTCCTTCACCCGCAGAATTCCTCTTGAGAACTTTTGAATACAGTGCTTAATACTTATCTAGAGCTATTTCATGCAACTTACAAAACGGTGAGCATGATCAGATACGTGCTAAAACCATATGGATGTCAGGATTGAAAATGGTTTCATATACAAAAAAGAACATCATTTGGAAAAATCAAATAAACAAAATAGCTTGTTGCAGGTAGACAATTTCAATGTAGGTAGTTTGTCGATCTCCAGCTGTTGCCCTCAAAATAGACAAAAGCTTCTCTTTTCTATTCAGATCTCTGCGAACAGACGCTCTTCATTATTCATCCCTGAATCTACTCTATCGGTCGGATTATTCTGAAAATGCGGCCGAGCCCCACAAAAAGCAGGAAAGAACAGCGCGCCAACGATCTTTTGTTGTATACAAAGTATAAATCGCAGTTGCAGTGGCTCTTGCGCGTATGTGTTTTGTTTGCAATGCCTGGCCTTCTATAATAGGAGGCACACGACTCTCATTTTGTTGTTTCGATTCTTTTGTATCGCGACCGACTTGTTTGCGAGATGGGAAAGACAATTGGAATGCTGTGCTGTAATAATAGGACTGGGGTCACCTTTTCAGTAATTGCTTTTCATTGCAATAACACTCGATGAGGTCGGGTCGGTTCTTGCGAATAGTTTGATGATATTACCAGAGAGGTCACAACATGCTTTCACTGTCATGGTACAAGGTAATTTAGGGTTCGAAGCTGTTTGGTAACCGACAACTTACGCCACATGATTTGGTTCAAAAACACATGACGCTATTGATTTGCATACTGTCTGACATCATGAAATTACGGTAGCGTTGTCCATTTGAGGGGTAACTGCATCATCTCTTATATGCTTCGTACTTTCAGTGCCTCTGCCACACTCACAGTCACCTATTTCGGTCCTCAATATAAATCTATGCAAGGGCCGGAAAATTTACAATTTTCGGTGAAAATCTGGCAGGCCCTAAAGCTTAGGCCCAACGTACCTTCTGCGACCTCTTTCCATACCTTATATCAGGTAACCAAATAAGTTCGTGCGGTTGCTGTATATCGCACATTGCCATGGATGTTGTTGATCGATAGCGATTGTTTGTTACCTGTTATCACTTCAGTATGAATCCTTCTTTTCTCACACACATAGAAAGTTGCTAAAAATTGTTCCATACCTAGTTTTAATAATTGAAAATGGCGACGAATAAAACAGTAATTCGAAGTTGTTTACTGTATGAGTACAAACTTGGTACAGAAGCTGCAGCGGCGGCGCGAAAAATATGTACCGCAGTCGGAGATGATTCCGTCAGTCATCGAACAGCACAGAAATGGTTCAAAGAAGTTGCTTCGGGAGATCTCCGGTTGAGCGATGAACGCGCTCAGGGAGACCAAAAATCATGAAGAACGAGGATCTTCGACAGGTTATGGACGCAAATTCCAGGACAACGTGCCAAGAACCTGCAGAAATGTTCAGAGTGAGTTCTGAAACTACTCTCTTGCATCTTCATCAGCTAGGAAAGATGTGGAAGTTAAGCAAATGGGTCCCACATGAACTGACAAATGATAACAAATTAAGTCGTCTTACCATTTGTTCAGCAAACAGTTCACGCAACTCTAATGAACCATTTCTTAATCGGTTATTCACCTGCGATGAAAAATGGATCTTGTATTCGAATTCTAAGCGCTCGTATTATTGGTTGTCGCCTACTGATCCCCAAACTAGGTTTTGTTGTGTGTTTGGTGGACAGCAACTGGAATTGGGCATTATGAGTTTTTGAAAAGGGGTCAAACCATCACTTCTAACTTGTATTGTGAGCAGCTTCAACGAGTACAAGCAGCACTCATCCAGAAACATCCTTCATTGATCAATCGGAGAAAAGTGATATTCTTGCAGGATAACGCCAAGCCTCATACCGCAAAAGTGACCTTAGAAAAAATTTCTGAACTCGGCAGGGAAACGTTACCGCACTCACCATATTCTCCCGACATTTCGCCCGGTGATTATCACCTTTTGTGTTTCTTCACAACTGTATGAGGCCCCGACAGTTCACAACTCGAGATGGTGTAATGAATGCAGTCCGCCAATTTTTTGGCTCCAAATTCAGGGAGTTTTACAATACCGGCATACGAAAATTGGTTCCACATTAGCAAAAGGTCATTGAATGGTAATTACTTCGACGAATGAATAGTGTCTTATTGTTTGTCAGCAAAAATTCATATTTTTCTACTACCTGATATATTTCTCTTCCTTCCGCACTAGTGCCATTTTTTTCTGCCACTAGCTCATTACTTCATCTTTCATTCTAGTGTTCGCTTCACTCTTGTCATGTGCCCATGCAAATTTCCATTCGAGCTTCTGCTTTTTTCATCCGAAGTTTGCTTTATCATCCGCTTTATTTATTCCTGCATCCTACCTCCAACCCGTATAATCGTCATATATTCAGTCATTTCATTCACCTTCACCCGGACCTTACCTTTCATCCTTTGTCCATTTGTGCATCTGACGGCGACCTGTCTGTCTTTTCGTACTGTCACTAACGACCGCTTATGCTCCTTTGCCTTTTGAAGCCATTTCCATATCACCACAATCTCTCCTTGTAGCGTATTGGACGACACACCCTCTACCCTATCCATCCATTTCATGCATACTTCATTGTTCTTGTTCACTATACCTCCCACACCAGTCTGCTTTCATACTGGCATCGCTACTTGCGATCCATCCACTTTCAAATTTCCAAAATACTTTTGTCTGTAGGGTAAGTCCGGGAGAGATCGACCACATTTTGGAAAAAATATTGTAAATATTTTGGTTTCTGAGGTACATGTTTTTTTAACTGTTGAAGCATTACCTAAAGGGTTAGGATAGTAAATAAATCACAATTTAAGATATAATACAAACATAAATGTTTATTTTGAACTTAAAGTTTAAACATTGTAACTGGTCGATATCACCCGGATGACCAACTACGACTTCGAAAAATAAGAAAACATGAAATAATAAAACATGTTTGAACAGTATAATAATAAGGGTAGAATTAAATCGTATAAATACATTTAATTTTTTCGACTTCTCTTGTTCAATTTTCCGCATATATCGCAAATATTCTCGAATTTTGAGCATCCATTATGAAACCAACGACTGCAGTTCACACATTTGAGCCATTCGTCATTCTTAGTGGTTTTAAAATCATTTTCCCCACATCCTACGCATTCGTTTTCGTCCCATTCATCTGCTGATGTATCACTTTCCTGCAATACGGGACTTTCGCTCTCCGAATCTGAATCTTCTAATGTTCTTTTCTGTTTAACCACAGTTTTTTTCTGAATTGGACATTTGTTTTTTTTCTTTGTTTTCTTTTTATCCTTCTGAATCTCAATTTGTTGTGAACTGTTTAAAATAGTTGCAAGCTGCCTACCTCGTGTTTTAACTACTGCTTTTGCGTTAGTTTTGGGAATGGGTGAAATCACGTTCTCCAACAATTTTGCTGGTGTAGAGTCGAGTGTGGGGTAAATGTCAACTATTGCACTGTCAGGATCGTGCGAACAACCAGGCAGTGGTGACAAAATGCGGGTATTAGTTGTCTGAACGGTAGGGGACCGGGGCGGAGTCGAAGAAGAGGATGGATTCTTAGTGTTATTATTTGAACCAGACCTGGTTTCTGCATCTTGTTCCATTTGAATATTAACATACGCGTAATCTGGAATAACTTCTGGGTTAAAAGGCGCTATGCCTGCAGCTCTAAAACCAGACATTCCATTTTCCACAGTCGCTGATTTGCCCCAGGCTTGACCCAAAAGATTTCCAAAAATTATCCTTGTTATTTTCCTACTTGGATTTGCTTTTAAAAAATTGTTACAAGCGGCGTAGTAATTGTTTTTCAGAGATTTAAAAAAGGACCTATCTAACGGTTGCAGATAATGAGTCGTGTGACTCGGTAAACAAAGTAGAATTATGTCATTAGCTTCACAAAATTCCAGTATTTCCACAGAATTGGTATGAGAAGTATGGCCATCGACAATTAATAACGCTTTTCCAGCTGGTTTTCTTGGCAAAAAATGAAACTCCAACCAATCCTTGAAAATGGAAGCGTTGATATACGCCGATTTCTCCGACATAGAAATTTGGGAGCCAGGTGGCATTCCTTCTAAAAACTCCATTTTTCTATTTTTACCTTTAAATATGGAGTAAGGTGGGAGAAACATCCCCTCTGCATTGCAGCACGCTATAACCGAAATTGTTTCGCCTTTCTCACCTGATGTTAACGAAGAAACACTTTTTGATCCTTTTGCTTCTAAAACTTGGGTTGGTCTATTGTTTAATTGCAAACCGCTTTCGTCCATGTTGAATACATTTGAAGGTTTGCTATGAAGGTGGTTATCAGTGAGAACATTTTCTAAAAGGGTAAAATAGTGTTTCACAAACAGACGGTTCATTCCAGTCGCTCGGTTAATAGAAATTCCTTCGGCTTTTCTAATCGATATATCAGGATGTCGACGTAAAAACGAGTTAAGCCAATCATAACCGGCCTTGCCTCTTTCTTTATTAAACGTGTGCTTCAGTTTTAATTTTTCTGCAAGTTGAAAAGCCCATATTCTGACGGACTCTCGATCTGGTGCAAATCCAAATGTTTGCAATTTTTTTATGTGTCGCACCAATTTTAGTTCTGCATCTTCTCCCAACGCTGATGACGGACCTAATCTGTGTTGTTTTATTGCGTCCCCCTTCTTAATTTTTTAGGTATTCCAAATTGTCTGGCGGCTTCATTTACACCCATTGTACGATTTTGTACACATTCAATTGCGTTTCTTAAAGAACCGGCACTCCATTTAGCTCTCTCTTCATTTTTTCTTTTGTAAGTCGTGGGCATTTTTGTTAATCTGTAACAATATTATTTTACAATAATTTTATTTTTTCAAATTGAGCTTTATTGTATCACTAATTTCCTTCAGACCGCCGAATATTTCATTATTACTATTATTATTTCCATGGTCGGTCCCTCCCGGATTGATGTGGTCGTACTCTACCAAAGTTACGGGGGAGATCGACCACCTTGTTAACCGAAGGAAAAATGATAAATGCCTACATTTTTGGGGTTATGTTATAGTTTGATGCATATCTTATCATCCAGTATTGAAACAGTTCAATTAAACTTACCCGTCTTTAAAATATCACGAACACAGTCAATCAGTCAAAAAATGGTGAAGCTTGCACAAATTTTTAAATTTAATTTGTACATTTATACTACTGTTACGGAGCGTGTTTACGTGTTCCATGTAACAAGGTCAACTAATTGCATCATACATGTGAGTCACGGATTCTTCTATTGCTTTGTGGTTAAGTTACCGGCAGTGGTCGGTCTCTCCCGGTGGTCGATCTCTACCGGAATTACCCTATTGCTTATAAGTTAAACGATACTTCGTAAACTAATTAATATTGTATGGAGAAAACACGATCTGACTATTACATTGTAACATGTTTTTAATTCAAATCTTGTTTTCTCCGCGTAGTTCATGTATAAAGCGTTTTGTCCATTTTTCAATGCCAAAAATCAAGAGTCATTTATCTATAAAATTTTGACAGTTCCATTCAGGATATCCATTTTCATCTTCCATCATTTAAAGGATTCACAATGGAATACCGATTTCGTCAAAATAAAAAATGTGCTTTTGTCGTGATTCCATTCCGATGGACAAATCATATTTTGAAAGCTACCTCCTCATTTAACATTTGTACACTTAGATAGAGAATCTCGGAAAGCATCACCAGACTCGATGCCGTTATTGCAGTTTCCTTGATTTCGCCTTGGCTTTGCCATGAGACATTTGACACCACTTCTCGAGCAGATTTTTATAAATTATATTCAAATGCAAAGCTGTCCCTAGTTGGCGGCTTCCGGGCTTTACGATCCTCTCGAGTATTTCACAAAAAATATAAGCAAACACAAAGCTACGTCGCTCTAGCTACTCTGTTTCTTTTCATAGCTGAACTAGAACTTTTAGGCACTTTTACCGTAATTATTCATGATTATCCAATTTTTAATGTAGAGTGGCAATACTAGTTCTAAGTCAATTGATTACAGATTTATTATCTTAGTAAAATTCACCTAACAACCATCTCAATGTCAGTGTTGCTGTCAAATAGCAAATTACTTTCAGCATATTATTTCCAACTCCTTCGAAAAGCAATACGAAGTACCTACCTCTATATTGCACATCGCCCGTAGATACATTGAATAGATGGCTGAGGTGCATTTCAATATGAACTACTCCTAAATATTCGAACTTCTGAGAATAATGGACGAACTTCCAAGATGTTCCTATAATAGATGTCTGTACAACACTGATATATTTAGAACTGTTTGCGAACAAGACTCCCAACTAACAACTTCGCGATACGGGGCTTAATATTGCTCCCAAGTCTCTTCTTCCTTCCTTCCGAGTCGGCGTTTCACATTAGAGGCATGAGGGATTCCAGGAAAGTTTTAAGAGCGCGATATTGAGACATGTACCTTTGTATGAAGACCATGGCTTCATTTTAGACCAGGCGAAGGTTATAAGGCGGTGACCCAGCGCCAATTTATAAACATTTTTTTAATAAATTGTAAAAATGCTTTTTTATGGACAAATCATAATGCTTGGGAGTAGATTAAACCCAAAATATTCTTCAGAGTCTTGTAGGGACAGGTTCAGAGTTTGACGCTTTGTCACGTCAAAAGTCATAATTTTCAGTTTTTAAGCGCTATTTTTAGGGCCTGCAGAGTTCAAATCGCTTGTAAACCAAAAACAGTAAAAAAAATTTTTTCAAATGCTATACAACACTTCGTTGTGTTTATCTGCTGCATTTGAGTAAACCCAGTAAAACTCCGTTGTATAATTTTTCAGAAATCATCCCCTTAGATCAAGTACTCTAAAGTACGATTCCTGATGTTATAATAAAACCTGAAAGAATGAGATAACGAGCACCGTCCTAATTTGCGTTCCTTTACCAGCAGAATTGCCGAATAAAAAATTGGGAGAACAAACGCGACCAGTTAACAGTACTGGATCCAAATAGCAAGGTGGACTGCCACTCAGATTTTAATTGCAACGGTGTCACAATTTATAACTGTAGAACGGCTGGTGCGATATCCACTTTATTATGTCATTCAGTCCAAGCAGATGGCAGTTATGAGAACTGGATGTGGAATAACGATCTTGTTAGCTCAGCGATCTTTTTTATTGTCGGCAACAGCGCACCTTGGTTTATCGTTATTGTACAACACTCATGTAAAATTAATTGCTGAGACAAACTGGAGTTGTTAGTCCTCTAGGCATTTTGTCACTATTGGATGGATGCGCTGGGCATTTCACTTTCCACAACCACCAATACTGAAACTGAATAATCACGCGTTCCGCGTACACACTCCCATCATTATTAAAAACAATATGAACTCACCGCTTCAACTTGGAAAATCACAGAAAAAAATAGCGTGGAGTAGATTGACATACTTTCCAACCTCTAGTACAGTTTTTCGTCTAGTACAATGGCATCAAAAAGACGTGGATTGTTTGAGAACTATTAGTGTTTTAAAAAAATCCCAGATTGCAGCCATGAGCATGACCGTACATGATAGCCTAATTTCTTTCGAGCTCTGTTGTAAAACTGCTTGTCAAACATCCTTGATACCATTTTGTAATAGCTCCTGATACGTACTTAAATACTATATGAACTATACTTTGAAGTTGAGTCATTAATTTTCAGATAATGATTGTAGAAGGAAGATAAACCAAAATATGTGTGTAAAAATAAAAAAAAAATAAAAAAAAAAATTTTACCTTGTTTTATAAAGTATCCTCCCGACAAGTATTTCAGTGCGGACCTGTATTTGATCGTGAGGTCTTGGAGCACCGGCATGCCGTCCATATGTGAGGTCTTAAGTCAAATGATTCACGAACCCGTTGTACTACATTAACAAAGGCACGAGGGGTTGGTTGCACTCGATTGGGAAACCGATCCGCATAAACATGTGCCATTTTTTATTTCGTTTGAGCCACGCAACAGACACCACTATTCACTACCGACTGACACTGACTGTATACAACTGAATGAAATAATTGTAAAAACATCGTTCCAAATTCTTTCGCTTTTTTGTTTCCGATGCGATGAACCGATAAGGCGGATTATATCCATTGTCGCCAAACACGAGCACATAATATTATTATTGAGACAGGGCCGTACTCAAACTTCCAAAGGGCTATAACTTTGTTACTTCAATTTTACCAGAAAAATGGTAAAGGAAAAAACACTTCTTTTGATCAGATCTACTCACTGTTAAAATAAATGACTCAACTTCGAAGTCACCCTGTATACTTGTATAATAGTACCTAATGGAATCGAGGTACCTCATAAAGTTACTCTCTAAGCATAATGCTCGTACAAATAGTATACCTATTACAATAATACTAGCAAATCTATATATGTACATAGACATTATCTAAGAATGAGTCAAACAAAATTTTTTATTTAAACTAGTTCCTAATAAGTGTTGACATATAACCTCTTAACACTGAATTTCATTACAGTATAATATTAGAATAGTACCTAATATTAACAAGTCGATAAATATATGTGCATATCTGATACTAGGACAAAGCTTTCTTTTGAGCTGTTTCAACCACAGATTTCTAATATGAGACTTATATTTTCGGTCACCATATCTTTGTCTAATTTAGCATGAGCCTAAGTTTATTTTTCACTAGCACTAGCACTTGACTGTTGATCAGAACTGCATTTAAGAATTATTGTATTACTATTTTTCCCTGTTGTTTTTATGTGTTCTTTTTATCGTAAACTTCTTCTTCACTGATTTGTTGTGCTTCGGCGTTTTCGTTGTTTGTAGTTTTGTCCTAAACAATCAAGAGGTCGACGTGGATCTAACTGATACTCCACACAGAAGAGGTAATTTCTATAGGTTCGTCACTCCTGTGAGTACCTACCACAATTAAATAAACTGTTTGTAATACAATGAACACATATGTATTTAACGTAAAAGACCTAACCTACAAGCACTTGTTTCAAAGGTTCCATAACAGGTTGGTTCGATAAGACCTACAATATAAGACCATCAAGTTTGAATGAATACTGACATTTGCAGGATAACCAACACTGAAGGAATCCTGATACACCTAGGAATTCAGCTAGCAACACATTTTCTCTTTTATATACTGGTATAAGCAATATGCCAGATCAAAAGGTTTAGAGAATTGTGAATTATATATACATATATATATATATATATATATATTTTCAGAGTAGCAAGACACTCTCTTCACATGACACAATCAGAAACTGGAAAATTGTAGAAGACAAGCTATGCGGAAGGATGTGTTAGGGGTCAATCCGTCAAGCGCATTGAATTTAAAGACCAGTATTATACAGCTTGTTCACAATATAGGGTTTCAGTTCTGAGCAACAGCACAGTGTTAGTGCTAATGAAAGTAAACTTAGGCTCATGTTGAATTAGACAATGGTGACCTGAAACATAAATCTTAAAGCTTCGACTTAATATCAGATGTGCACATATATCGACTTGTTAGTAGGAGATACTAACGTAATATCACATTGTAATGAAACTCACACTTTGTTGAGGTTATATGACGAAATTTATGTCACGTACTAATTTGAATATATAATCTTCTGTAACAATCTTAGATAATGTCTATGTATATCGACTTGCTAGTATTATTGTAATGGATGTATTATTACATTTGTAATAACAGTAACCCATAATTGTATAACCCTATTGATTGATAAATTGTATATTACAAAAAGTATGTCTGACAATCGTTATTAGGTATTATAAAATTATATGCGTATCGGAACCTACAATAAATTTGTACAAAAATGTATTTTTAGTTGTTTTGTCATATTCATCCTAAAAAAGTTAAGTAGCTTGGTAAATGCATTATTTTTATTATTATGGACAGTACGAGTATGTTACTGCAATTTAAATATCAAAAGATCATGCTAATCTTGATATGATGGAAAATACCTAGACACACACCATTTATACACATCTACAATATAAATAATTGTTTTATGTTTATGTGCAAATTGTGGACACGAGACATAAACAATTCGTAAAAATACAAATTTTCATAAAACACAAACACCACTAGTCTTGTTTTATCTGCTCTTGCACGTACAGTGGGAACATGTATCGAAATTACCTTCAGCTGTTTGGCAGACATAATTACGCCTTAAATCTTATGTTTCTCTGTTGGTACTCCTCAGTATTTTATTCATAGCTTCTTTTTTATAACGTTCTAACAAAATAGCAAAGGTAGCAAAAACGTCCGATGAGCTGGCAACGCCGCAATCCAGGCGACAAGAATAATAGGATCAGCTGCCAAAACTTATATCTAGCCTGAAGTACTGTCGGAGCCCTTTCAAACGTCAAGACAACAATTTTCATTTGCATTTTTTAAGTGTTGTGCAACGATATCGGGAAAAAGTGCTATAGTCGCCTTGCGTGGCCATGTTATCCTCACTCAGGCCAACTTCTCTCCAGAAACGACAACATATAAATAACCCGCTGGGCACAGCTAGCAGCATATTCAGTAATAATAATAATAATAATAATAATAATAATAATAATAATAATAATAATAACACTGGTCAACAAAATTTTAACTTTGTCGTGCCACACGGACTTTTTTGATATTTTTTTGATTGTAAGAAAAAATAAACAGTTAAAAAAAATTTGCTAGACAAGGATTTGATTCTATTGAGTAATTTAAAATATTAAGAAAAAACACAGATCTCGTAAATCAAGTTATTTTTTTTTATAAATGACTTAATAATCTAAGATTTTCTTGAATATTTAGCTTCTGGTTGGTCCCTTTAATTGTCCAGCAGTAATCTGCTAACATATTCGGGCTCCATTTGCCCTGGTACCGCTTTTCCATATTAGAAATGTCCTGATGGAACCTCTCACCGTGCTCGTCGCTGACAGCCCCTAAATTGTCAGGAAAAAAATCCAGGTGCGAGTCTAAAAAATGAATCTTAAGTGACATGTTGCAACCCAATGCTTGATATGACAATAATAGCTCGCTAACCAACTCTCTGTAGCTGTCACTCTTGTGGTTACCCAAAAAATTTGAAACAACATTTTTCTTCAAATCTTGAATTTATTAACTCCCTAAATTGAGGGCCAACAAAAATACCCTCTTTTACCTTTGCATCACTTCTTTTAGGGAATTTTTCTTTTAGATACAAAAATCCACTCCCATTGCGATCCATTGCCTTCACAAATTTTTTTATTAATCCTAATTTGATATGCAATGGTGGT